GCTTACATGTGCTCGCAGGGAGTGCAGGGGAATATCACTCATACGCATGGAGTGCAAAAACTTTATTTAATTTAATTTGTACGAGAAAAACTTTGTAAATTACGCAAAATAATTGCTTTTGCACTACTTTTTCTTATAGGGCGAAACGTCTGTAGTACTTGTGGGTTTTGACTTACACATAAAATAAATAATCTGCATTCAAATTTTACAAAACATATGAGTGTATTTGCATTATTTATATCCCACACAAGTGCAGAGTTGACGCCAACTGCAGTGTCAAACATTTCTGCCTTACTGCAAACTGATGTAGTTTCGAAACTTTTTCTCAACTTCTTGGGTAAATATTTCGTTCAGGATAAGTTGGCAGGCAGTGAACTATTCAAAGTTTCAGTAGATCATCTCCAAAGTTTATATGTTAATAGCACTCCTTAAACGCTGCATTGAACGCATAAATTGCAAGGTTCAACTTGATGACTGCCAATCAATTTGCAAGGAGCGCACTGACTTTACCTCAGTTAGTTCGGGATGTTTTGCATTTGATTGCTGTTAATAATTAAGTACCTGTTTACATTGATGTACTTTATTTGTTGAATGCCAATATGCAAATGCAATTGCTTGGAAGGCATAAAAGCCGCATTTCATATTTACACATGTTAAGTTCAATAATTTGATGTTTTGTGCTTCAAATTGGCAGTCTTGCGAATATTTGAGAATATGAGGGAATTTGATTGAATTAAATCACTTCATCAAACTTAAGGTAAATAGAGACGAATAAAATTGAATTTTTAATGAATTTCTAAGATTCATAATAACAATAAAATAATATGAACTTCAATAACATTTAAGGAATACCGGATTAGCTAAATTTGAATTTCAAGATATTTGTGAAACCGCTGATGGCAAATTAAATGATTTTAAATAATAATGATCTAATTTATATTCGTTTCATTTATATCTGGAAAAAGTAGAAAATTAGAAAATATTAATAAGAATATAATATTATAACATTATAATATATAACATTATAATAAGCGAATTAATATAAAACGATGAGCTGTTGAATTAGTTTGACAAATATAAGATGTCATCTATTAAGGAAGTGTGAGATTGCTCTTAAAAAAAGTTATTAGTAGAGTTTAAGTATGCTTCATTAGAATATCGTCGGTTTAATCCTCAATACATTCTGTGGAACGTTATTGAGTTCGATCAAATAGTTTTACAAGTTGTGTTCGTCCTTTTAAAAGCTCAAACAATAAGCATTCCTAATTTCTGTTATTCGGTTATGTTAACTATATTTCAAATGATGTCGACTGCTGCTATAATACTTGGCATATAGAACAGATTTTAAGTCCTAAACAAGCATTCAGAGGTCCTGATACAGCATGGAGATCTGCAAACATTTTTCTTTGATTGTAAAAAGTATTGTACGAGAAGAAGTTTAAAATCATACTTTTATAATGTATTGATAGCTGGAATATAATCGTTAGCAATTCGTAAAATCTGCTAGTTCTTATCAACCGAAGTTTTCTCTCTATTTTCCTGCATTTTATTGATCAATTACAATTTTAGCAAAGGGATATGGTTAACTACTACACATAATTACTAATAAGCATCGAGTACCAAGGCAATCTTCACCAAGAACATGGTCACATTTTATTTATATCTGCAGAAGGCATTACTTAAAAAAAAAACTTTTTTGGCAGCAAGTTTCTTTTCTGTCTCATCTTTAGTTCCGCTTTTCACGCACTATATAGAAGAGAAATATATAAGCAAAGCTGCGACTTTATGGTAAGCGCTAGAATGAAATTTAGTGATTGGTATTCAAAAGAGTTTTATTAAAATTTATTACTATGGTCTACAGTTTCTTGGAAAAATTTAAAGAATGGAATTAGGTTGTTAGTATTAAGTATTTTTAATTAATATTCTTAATTACTTATTTTTAATAATACATCAGCATTTCTTAATTGTAAGATCCATCGACTATTCCACGTAGTTCCCTATAGCGCTATATTGGGTCAAGCAATCATAAAGTTGTGCAATTGATGTCCAAATAACTTTGAACATCTGCTTATGAATGACCAATTTTTATAGAACAATATTTTCAAAATTTTATTTCATGTGCTGGAAATTGCGCAAAGCCAGACTTTGAGAAAATTTTTCAAGGTACAATGGTACATTAAGACGAATGCCATCCTCAGGGACCTCCAGACTGATCCCATCAAAAAATACATAAAGCCTTAAAATTATTTACGAAAACAAACAGACTTACCAACACCGCGTTATCGCATTTTAGAATGGCTACCGACTCCTCAGGGAGATATGCAGACCTGGGTTTAATTATTGCTTAGTCTGATGAAGTGATAAACAATAATATAGTGAAGGCGTAAAGAGGGTTTTTTGGAAGACACCTCGCAGTTAACATAATAACATATACTTTCTATTTAATTTTCATGACAAAATACAATATCACATAAACCTTAAAAAAACATTTTAGTGAACAGGATCATTTAGAAGTGCTTTTCAGTAACTTGTCGGTACAGGGCTGGCAATAGTTTGGTCACAAATTGACAGTTATTCGTATCCAATGTGCTTAGTTTGAACTTTGAATTTAGCAATTAGATCCTTTGCGTAACTCAGCAAAAACAAGTTCTATAGTGATAAATTGCGTATTCTTGGAGGTTGATTCACTTCTCCTAAAATATGAAACTAAACATTTGTGCTATATGGCTTATGGCATCGACCTTTTAAAATAATATATTTTGTACAGCCATTTCTTCAACTTCATACCAGAAATTAAGCATCAGTTGTCAAATATGTGATTATATAGCTGTTGCTATCAGAATTGACTCTTTGGTTTACAATGTCGTCATTTTTAGAAAAATACTATTCCAGATTAAATGCTATACCACTCAATAACTTTTTATGGATGTTATAATTTTTTGATATTGGCTTGAAATCCAACATGTGTCTTATCAGTATATAAAATAAAATTTAAGAAAATATGGTTTTACATTTAATTAATTTGAGTTCAACCAAAACTTACAATAAGGGTATTGAAATATAATATAATGTAACTTCGGTATAAAGTTCATATTCGATAAAATTATTTAGACTAAAAAAATACTGTAAGAGGACTTATTGTCAGCCCCTTTCAGCTTGAATAATATACTATATCTTGATATAAATGAAAGAAAAAAAAATGTAAAAGGTATTAACTGAATTTATTTGTCTCTCAAAATTTTGCTTTTATTCATGCTTTAGGCAAAATCCTTAGCCTGTTTGTATTTATTTTTATGCTTGTTTTAACAGTTGCACAGAACGCATGAGTAGCATTCAATAATCAATAGAAATCACTCATACGCTACGTAGCCGCTTCTTATTTCATATGCTCTCATGCGTGATTTGACATACAAGCGGCAAAAAAGCTAATTCCTAAGCGCTACGCATACGTAAGTAACAAATGCGTGCATAAAATAACAATTTGCACATTAACGAAAAGTAAAGAAAACACGAAATTTTAAGCAAATCCGAAATAAAAATACCAAATGCGAAAAAGAAATCACATAAATAAATAAAAGTGAGGCTCAAGTGCTAAAGATCTCGAAGTAAAAACATCAAAAACTAAACGCAAATAAAATGCGAACTTACGAAAGCAAACACTCATTTCGAATAAACTAAGAAAAGGACTCAAAGGACTCAGAGGACATCAAATTTATGTGCACTCGTCTTAAATGGACTGCAAACACGTACGCAGTCTCTGGCAAACCTAAACAAATTCATGGATGTTTGTTAAAGTTTTTCTGCTGCTTGTATGGCTTCTTGTATGGCTGCTAAGATGGCATCATTTATTTGGTTTCATGCTTAACTTTGCTGATGGACGTGTAGCATCAAACTTCGTGGCGTTTGGTTCGGTACACATGTGCCAGTTGTTTTTCTGCTGAATCCTCCTATCAACACCTAAAAGCTGGCAACAGTTTACGATTTTACGATTTATTTTTTGTTTAAATAATATTTCTTTCGCATACAATGAAATGTGTTAAAGTGTTAACGATGCTGTATTTACTTTTGGGATAATATATGCAAAATGCTGCTTTTTATGACAAATGTTAAATTTACTATTTTTCCCAGATGGCACAACAATATCATCATAAATAAAAAACAAGCTTTTACGTTAGTTTAATGCGGATATAAAAAAGTCTAAGCATCCTATGATTGCTTGTATTTCGTTGCTGGCTTTTAGGGTTTTTATTACAAAATTTGTGTAAGTGGACGCAATTATACATGAAGGACATTCAATATATATTATTAAAAACATATTCAGTGTTAGTAACTAACTGTTAACTAATGTGCCTTCAACTATTTTTTTAATTAAAGTGCATTAATTCATTCTATTCTTAGCAAAGTTTATTAAGGACGTGTGCGAGTTAGGGTAAATTGCGTTCTAAACGAGGGAAATTCTAACTTGTGCCAATAATGTAGTGATTATTGATGGTGAAGTTGATGCTAAACCAAATGGGTTTAGCATCAATAGCCTAACTCGCACACGTGCTAAGGATAGAAATCTGATGATTGTAAATTACAGTAGAAATTTTATTAATGACTCTCATCTAAATATTACTGTATTTTTAATAATCAAAATTATGCAGATAAAGATATTTATTTTTTATTATATTATTATTTTTTTTATACTCTTAGAGAAATTACCACTGCCTATAAGTACTATTATGGGTTTAGTATGCAAGTTGGATATAGAGCTCTCTATCTGGCTCTCTCTCTCTCAAACGACAAAACTTTTTCTCTATTGATCGCTTCCCTATGCATGTACTTCTGTATAGTGCAAAAGCGTCGATGCTACTATAAAACAATGAATTAACACTGGGAGTATTTAAAAGAAAAGTTCTTTTATTAAACTGATTGTCTAGTTAACATTAAGATACAAATTAAATTTGTATCAAATTTTTGGTTGATTTTGTAGTCATCATATATTTTAATGAGATATTTAGTGAAATGATTTATAATGTTTAAGTTTGTGATTCAAATTTACTTCATATCATTCCCGTCTTAGAACTTATATATTTTTATTTTATATAATATTAAACATGACATATATTAAAAAAATGTTTTTGATGTGATAGCAAACACTTAACCCTTGATCGATCGAACTCATAATACAAAAATATTGTATAAAAATAAACTCAATCTTTTCGGTTTCAAAGTACGTCAATGGGTGACATACCATATTATTTGATGATATAATTAAATTCATTTTACTTCTTATTCGTAGACTTGCTCTACTTCGTGGCAGGGCATTAACATATCAAATGTGACTACTTTGATTGCATCAAAGCAGTTTATCCAAATTAAATAGAGGTATTTTTCCTTGATTATTTGCTTTACTTGCGCCTCATAATTCAATCCATCTTCACATTTCACCCGTAAGGTATTGCCCACAGCACATGCGGAGCAATCGAATACTTTTGTAACACTTAGAGTAGCTTTTCTGTACTCAGTCCATTGTTCAACTCGAGCAGAGTATCCGTGAGATTGCAATAATTCTTTAAAATGTGCTATACACTCTTTACATAATCCACAAATATAAACAACGCATAGTTGTTTCTCTGCATTGACCGAATTTACCCGAACTTCATATGTGCGCCAATTTTCATGGATTATCCGAAAGTAGTCGCCTACTTTGGGGGTCTTACGAATGCGTTTATTAGCCTAAATGACAAAAAAATGTAAATTAAAAAAATTAAATTTCAAAGACAAATTTAAGTTTTTCACACAAATCAGTTAGATCTTTTATCTCAAATTTTAAAAAAAATTATGCTGCTTTAAAAATTTCAAAATCTTTTTAAAGGAAGGCAAAATGCAACTTTGCGTTTTAATTGCAATAAATTAATAATAACCGTCAGGCATTAATTACTATTCACATTTAAATTAATGGTGTGAATTGCACAAAGTCCATTAAAATTAAATTGCCCATATGTGACGAACACATTAACCAGCGCAACGCCATCTGGTGTGATGTAAAAACCAAAGTACAAACAGCAACTAACTTAGGGCCATGTTATGCAGAGTGTCTCGGGCACGGGAAAATCCTCTCTTTTGTGCTATGCCGTAAATGCATGTTATGCAGGCAATTTTACTCCTGTCATGCCTGAGACACTCTGCTTAATATGGCCCTTAATGGTTCAGCGTCCATTTCTATTTTGCGCGCCTTCTCAGAAGTAAGAGAAGAAGTCACATAATTACGTGTTAAGCAATAAGTGCACGTAAAATAATAAATAGTTACAACAGATATTTATATTTTATATCCACGAGTATTTGTTTATCAGCAAACTATTCCTTACGCGGTAGGATTTATATATATGTATATCTTGATTTTTACCAACGCAGGCATTTGTTAAATATTAAAGTATTGCACAGACTATTATTGAAAGATTATAAGCACTAATAATTGCTCAATAGAAAAACTAAAACTTTTTACACAAATCAATAAATACCTCTTGCGATGGTTTCTTGCTTTCTGTGAATTCTGGATAAATTTTCTCCATGGTATGATTTTTTAGTAAAGTAAGAAGTAAGAAGAAGTGAAGTAAGAAATTTCTTCAACTTTCCAGGTTAGAACTGAAGTTAGAGGTGTTCCACTGAAATATAATAAAACATACAACTTGAAATTGGAACAAAATATGTTGCTTTGTCATTTCAAATAGATGCGTAATGGTGCAGTACTGTCAATGTACTTTGTACTTTATATTAGTATTATTTTAAAAAATTTATAAATAAGTTTCTTATACCTTATTTTTAATATAGTTATTATAAATATTATAATAAGCACTCCAAGTTAAACAGTCCGTGTTAAGTAGTCTTCTAATACTGAATTTTTAACGGTCAACTATTTTTAACAGAAATGCATACCATGTACTGTACGGTCAGTTGTTTTGGGTACAGTACCGTTGTAGCACGATTAAGTATAGTGAACTACTTAAGTATTACTCCAAGTGTGTTCGTTTTCTCCCATATGCAGCATATGTACCACAAAACCTTTCGTAAGCGTTCCGCTTCTGCTTGAACAAACCTTTATAAAATCTAGTTACTGATTTTATTGTGATTTAGCATGAGATAATAAGAAACGAGATTGTTCTTCTTTTAATTGATTTATCCGTATTATCTATATGCCAATTTGAAGTTGAAAACTTCTAAAATTCAATACGATTGTAAGCGTGAAATATTTCTAACATTTACTTTTTATAACTATTGATGTAAAAAAAATTCTGTTTTATTAAATTTCTTTGCTTTGACAAAAAAGCAAGGAAAACTAGATTTAATTTTCTCTTTAGTTTATTCAAAATTAGATGCGGTGCTTCTTGCTTAGTTAAGAAACTTGATCAATTCCATGCCGTGATACGAGCGTGTTTACGATCTCAGAAGATTTGATCACCTGGGTAGTTTCAGAAATGCAATCTTAGGTTGCAACATTGAACAGTTTATTAAGATTCGACTAATTTATTAAGATTTATTAAGATACCTGAATACCTTTTTAATTGTCTGCAACAATTACGATCCAATAGAGATCTTTTATTTATTATTTCCGGCTTTAACTTTGCTTCCACAACAAGTTTTTTCTTTATTCATTCTGTCAGAGTAAGGAATTCGCTTTCATGTGCCACCAAAAACACAATTAGAGTAGGAGCTTTCAAAAAACTGTGATTAATGAATTATCTTGACATCATTCGTTCTGACATTTAATTCAATTTTTTAATTGTTATTTTTTTAATATCTTTTCTGTTTGTAATATTTAAATATCTATTCCAAATTCTTAATACTAAATTTTTTATTTTGAATTAAATTTTTTTCCTTATTTTTTTATTTTATAATCTTTTTTGCTTTATTATTTAATAATTTATTGTGTATATATATCTCTTCTTTTTTGTTAGTTTTTAAGTTAGTTCTAAGATGTTGCAACAAAAGAGTTTTATTCCCTTAACGCATTTTTAAAATAAAAATATATCATCAAAACAACTTATAACATTAATTCTGGAATATTTATTCCTTTCTGTTTGTAAGAAATGTTCGAAGTAATGAGGAAATCGACACCAGAAACGGAAAATTCTCTAACATGACAATATGAGCTCTCACGTAACTCTTGTGTAAAATACAATATTCATCATTCGTTCTCCTTTTTAGATTACTGCAAGATTCAGTTTACTCAGTCATATGAATGTGTCTCAATCTATAAATCTAATGATTGTTAAATTGATTTATTGATGATTTATTGATTTATAAATCTAATGTTTGTTTTGCCTTCTAATTCGTCATTGTAGCAATATTGTTAGCTGATCTTAATGACCCGAGTTTTTCATGCATTGGATTTATATCAAATATATTAAGTTGTTTTATAGTGGTTGCTTTATATATCGCAGTCATCTGCAATGATTAACCTTACAATAATTTTGTTTGATATATATCAAATACAATATCCTTTAAGAGTAGTTTTCACTTAAATAATTGGGCTATATAGTGATACTTAAAGGTCTGAGCCCTTTTTGGTGGTCTCTACTGAAAATTCCAACCAGGGTTTTAAATAGTTCAGTGGTTTAAACGAGTTTCAAAAAAAGGTTTTTTAATCTTCTTAATCTATATATCTACATATGTGTACGGTTTCCAACACATCGTTTGCTATGATCTATTTCTTTATTGCTTTATGAAGCATTATATTCAATATTGTTGTTGATAATGCATCGCTTTGATTAACGTTGGATTAAAATTCTGTGGTGAACTTTAAGCAATTTGTTTTAGTGCCACGCCTTGCAGGATCGCCCAGTTCACTAATTGTTGGTGTAAATTTAACTTTATTTACATTGTTAAAACTTTATTTAAAGTTAATATGCTATTTAATTCGATACAGTTTTGATTGCCTTAATTAGCAAGCGACATTAGTCAATTATATATTAATACACAATTTATTTTGAATTCTGTAACAGTAACAGGGGCTAACAGTAATTTTTGACAAAGGTTTCTTCTACTATTCAACTATTTAGCATTTTGTTATTACTTCATACTGAACAGAAGAGGTCACATATTCCTTGATGTAGCGATTTGCCACCATACTTGAGTAATTCTGCATTGAAATTACTTTCCCTGAATAGTTTTCTTTATTTTTAAGCTTTTTTATTGTGCTGAATTTTATTTTTGACGAACGTTTTAGTTCTAGTTCTTCTAAACGTTCTAGCGGATTCGGACAGTGAAATAAGTTTCATACTTTGATATTTATGAGTGAAATTGGTCATCTATTTTGTTACATACGTACAACTCAACATAATGGTGAAGTTGAAAAACATGTGTTATACTTTTCCACCACAATGTATGTATTTGATATTAATTTTTTTAAATTTTAACGTCAGTTATGGCAGTAGTGATTATTTTACGTAATAAAAAACTTTGTTTTCAATAGAGAGGTTTTTATTGAACAATAGTAAATTACAACACACATTTTCTGGAAACTCAAAGCGAGTATTACACATGAGAATTTTTTGTCAAACTTTTTTGTCGTCACTTGCTATTATATATCAAAACAGTCTTCATTATTTTGAATACATCCTAGGAAAAAAATAACAAAATAAAACCGTAGAACCATTTAAACGATGTTTTTGCTTCCATTTTTAAAATGAATGAAATTTTATAAGAAAAAATACGAGCACTTTTGAAAAAGAAATCAAAATTTTTTGATTTTCATGAAACTTTTTTGTCAAACTTTAAACGTTGCTATTACACATTAAATTTGGCATCAATTTCGTATGCGGCTAAAGTCTGCATACGTGGCAATAGTGGAAACAGCTCTATGGTCAGCCACAAATACCTTTATTTAAACAAAAAAAATTTTTTTTATATAAAATACATATTTAAACTCTCTTTAAATACAAACGATCAGATACTTGTACAAAAAAAATATATCAAAAATGTTCTCTCTAAATGACGACGTATCAATCTTTCATTGCACCTAGAGTCTACTGTAAATATTTACATACAATATCAAATATTTTTAATAGAATTTTAAATTTCGAAAGGTTTCTCTTTAAATACTAACGATCAGATATTTGTATAAAGAAAAACGTATAAAAAATGTTCTCTCTAAATGACGACATATCAATCTTTCATTGCACCCAGAGTCTACTGTAAATATTTACATACAATATAAAATATTTTTAATAGAAGTTTAAATTTCGGATGTTTTTAAAGTTTCAGTTTAATTTCCTTTCCCGAATATAATCCACAAAACAAAAGTCCAATTTCAGCAATTTTAAGGCTTTAATAAGGCAGAAAGATTTCATTACAAAATATCGAATGGAAAATAAATTTACAATTCAAATATTTTAAGCCGATGACTGTGAACCGCATTATTTTGTCAAAATATTCAAATCAACTTTGCGGTCCTCAGCGAACTCGCATTCCTTCTGCTCGACAAATAAACGGCACGGAAAAGAGAAAGCTCCAACAGAAATGAACGAAATTGCCGGCAGTTTAAATTACTAAACATCAATAAAATATTCAAATCTGTTAACAACATCGCCATTTTTAATTGTGTTAGTGTAAAGGAGCTCCGAAATGTTCGGTTTCCTTTTCCGCCAAATAAAATTTGATTATTATTGGACTTGTACGTGTGCTGGAGCGCGTGTGTCTGCAGTTGACATGGAATGCTTAGGCTCTTGACTGCTGACAACTGACAGTTGTCAATTGACATTTGTTTATTGCGAAAATTTACATAATAGAAGTCACAGTTTATGTTCATTTCGATGATTAAAAACAGAAAAATCTCCAAACGAATTCCGTAAATGAATTGACAAAAACGAACGTTAAATAAACTGCAAACGCTTATGGGATGTTGTTAAAAAATGCCTGACCCTTGAACTTTTCTCGTATCGATGTACACTTCATGGAAATTTTATGCTTATCGAGTGTATTTATGTCGGTGGATAGCATGAATATTTATACTGCAAGTTGGTAAAGGAAAGGGATTTGCTACTTTGAGCCAATTACCGGAAAGGTTATAAGGTAGGACATAAATGTCTAACACAATTATGAAAAAGCAAAAGTCATTGGCGTCGTAAGATTTTGACATTTTGTCTATTGCAAAGCATATTAATATTTATATATTTTTGCAGTGTCTGTCAAAAATATTGGGATAGCAATTTTTTAAATCTACTAACAATGTTCTGATAGTAAATTCATTAAAGGAGTATTTAATCTCTATTGATTCAATTTAATAAATTTGCAGGTCACTAAAATCAAAGTTGAAGCTCACCAGTGACAACAGTGCCCATGCATGCCCGATCTGAAAAGGTGTGTGGCTGCTCTACTATGTTGTTTTTACATGTACTGTTTAAATCAAAAATGATAAATTGAAATACCATATATGAGATGTTTTATTAACAATAACTATGTTACATTAGGTAACAATATAACATTTAACAATTCATTGAAAAATAAAAGCATTAAATAAATTAAATTATTAATTTATATACAATATATAAGTTTAATATTATAACAATATGGAATAGACATAACTTTTCACATACTTCTTATAACATCAAAGCAATTTTTTTCAAACAAACAAAATCAAACACACTTGCAACGTATTAATGTGCGGTCAACTACTGCGCACAACTAGCGGCAGAAATTCGTGGGTGCTACTATTAAAAGGGGAAAGACAACATTTAAATGAAATATACGGTGATGTGTGCTGCAAATTTTAGCGCACACCTAACATATATAGAGCTAACAGAAAAAAATTGATTGAGTTTTCATAGACAATTACATTTAATTGTTTTTGCTAAAACTTTAATCTTTAAAATTATATGTTATAAGTAATATATATCTCGCTGTAAAAATATTTAATGAATTTATATATTTTATTTGGCATTTTGCGAATTGTATTAAGGTATGCGCAGCACCTTAGAGCAGTCGTTACTGGAGCTTATATACAAGTTTCCATTTGCAATTTAAGTGTCAGAGTTTACTCAACTAATAAGATAATTGATTTTCTTTTCAACTTGATGTATAAGGGATCGAATAAACTAGAGTGATTTAGAAAATATAATAAGTATGTCTAACGAAAAGTATGTCAAGATATGGAGGGTGTTTTAAATGTACTTTCTCTAAACTAATTACCTGATCCCTTAATTCAAGAAGTAAATAAAGTTGGCGTTTCATTTTTAATATATATAGTTATACAGGTCACTA